GGACATTTCGAACCAGAGGCATAAAAAGCGGACCCAAAAATTCACGAAAAATACATAATTATATTTTGTGCACAAAAACATTCGCACTGTTTTACCAATCTAAGGGTCGTATTCTAGAACTCTACTCAATGCTCAAGTCTGGATTTGAGTATGGTTTAAAGCACTCGAAATCATACTCAAGTACCTGCCATTAGGGTCGTATTTTCAGTGTTTGTGTTTCCATTGCAATCCTGACTTGAGCATTGAGTAGAGTTCTAGAATACGACCCTAAGACAGTAATAATGAATAGAAGAAATAAAATGTTATTATTTAGCGCATAGCCAGCAATATGCACAAAAATCACAGACATATCGCACCCTTAGTAATATAAGGGCACAATCCAAAAAAAGTAGATTTTTGGGAAATTTGGGAATTGATAGGGACTTAAATAATAAATGGGATCAAACATAAATAGCTCCATATTTCTGTTATATTTTTTGTACTATATGGGTCTAACTTGAAAGTGATTTTTAACTTGCTTGAAACTTATAGAATTTATTTATATTATTTTTTTTTATTGCTATTTATAATACATTTATCAAAGAACAAATCTGCCAAATTTCATATTTATAACTTAAATAATAAGCATGATATTTGAAAAAATAGGTATAATGTAGGAATCCAGAATCTTAATACGCGATTTCCCAAAAATCTACTTTTTTTGGATTGTGCCCTTATAATTACTAAGGGTGCGATATGGTCTCTGATAATCATAACAATAAAAAATTCTTTCAGTGCAGAAGTTTCTCAAAACAACTTATATATCTGTGCTCTTAATCTTTTCTTTTAAGTTTTTAAAAGAAAAAGTAAGTTACATATGTAGGTATCTCTTCCAACGGGAGAGATAAGTAAGGCACGATTACGTACGTGGATAACCAAAATAAACACAATCGGTTAGTCGCCCTAAATACAGCTAGAACGAAAAGTCTATGTATTATAATTATACGTAAGCAAATTAATCCGGATCTACATTTGTCGGACGTGACGTGTCGTGTCGTGATGCGTCAGAACGGTATAGGATTCATATACACAACACAATCCGTGACGTCAGATTGCGACACATAAATAAATGAATAAAGACGTGCGTGTAATGCCAGATATAAGTACATGTTAGTATAAAATTAAGTATTAGGTAATACGTATCGAAATTCACCTCGACACTTAGAAATTCACATTTAGAAATTCAAATGATCTTACGTACATAAATGACATAAAATCGTGTAAAAATTACAAAAACCCGCCACCTTTTTCTCCAACATAGCAAACGCGAACCTTGAATGTCCCGCAGCAGGTGCGAACTTGCGGCCAAATGTTCAAATTAGTATGTAAGGTTTGTGGAGTAAGTTGCTACTATCAATATACATTTTTCAACACAACGTAAGCTGGTAACGAGATCACGAGGTTTAGGATGTAGTAAAAGTTTCTGACTAATCAATAGCACGATTTTGACATTGCAATATGTCATTTATTGGGCGCAAAAACTGCTAATGTGATATCACTCTCTCTCCTGACTAAATATCGTTCGAGCATTAAGGAAATATTTGAGCATAACGTATATTCGGATTAAAACTTCATATATCAAGGGTCGATAGCCTCTTAATCAAATTTTTACCGTTCTAATACGGTTCATGTTGCTTGAGTCGCAGGGACACTGGCTTTAATTCGGAATTTATTTTTTTTACAATCGATTATACAGTCATTTAAGAAATGTACACCTTTACTATATTTGTGTTCTATTTAGCTCAGTTCATATAACAAAAAGTGTTTGCTATATGTGACGTACCTATTGAATTTGTTTTTTTTTCAATCGTGATAATTTTTAAGGCTTGTGTTTTCTATACAATTTTACTATACATTTTTTCTGTTATCAACCGGAGCCATTTGAGGTTGTCTGTACAACACTTAAAATGTAGCCGATATGAAAAATGTTCGCCTTACGACGGAACACGTATAATAGTCGACGATTGTTTATATTACTTATAAGCTATGTACTAAACATTACATTAGAGTATTTATTTTCTCCGTGACGACTTCGCCGTGTTAAGTCTTGACCAGGCAATAATCGAGAAATGGACGAGTTATCAGAACTTTTAAGTTCATTGCACGTGAGTCCTGAGTTATCGAGCCCTTAGTACGAATGACGTTTCGACTGTGACTTTACAGGGTGAAGATAAAAGTTGTTTGCGTCATTTATATAGCATCTGATTTGTTAAATAAAAATACGTAGTTTTTAAATATTGTTACTACACATACACTAGTATTTTTATTTAATAAACCAGATGACGCAAACCATTTTTTCTTCATCGTGTAAAGTTCTCAAAATTGAGATAGTACCGGTTGCCAGTTCACAGTCGATTTGTCATTTATTAATAAAAAGACGATATTATTGCTTTTTTTAAATAATAATACGAAGTGTTTGATTTCCCATATGAAATGCAATATATAATTCAAATTGGTTATAATTACACAATGTCGCGGGTTTGTGGTTTGCCCGGACATGTGATCAAATTTTGATGACTGCAAGCCTTAAAACTTGGAGCTATTAAATATTTGACAACTCTAAAGTAAAGCAGAATGCGACTATGCTAGGAAAATAATTGTCATCGCAAAAAGGATGAGAACCGGACACGTTCCATTAGACAGTTTCGCTTTTTAATGAATAAAACAATTCTCCTAATTGCGAGTTATGTGGAGTTGTGGAAGATGCATATCACTTGTTACATTGCATTTTAAGGGTAAAACAGCTTTCATATAAAAATACATTGTATATCGAGATGGTCGATTCTACAATAAAATCAACAAACGGGTTGTTTCAAGCTGGTTTAAAAAACTTAGCAACGAGTAAATTGAGGACTTTTAGCATCTCCAGGTATATAACCAATAGAAATGTTGCGTTACTAGACATCCCCTCACCACACACGAACACACACAAACGCACAAGCAAAAAAAACACACACTCACGCACACGCACACACACGTAGACACACCTACTCGAATATGCTGTTTCTCTTATTTTTGTCATCCCTATGTCATCGACCATCGATTATCGGATGTTAGAAGCCATGAGACTGATAGCACAGTTCTAACCTAGTTTGAGCTCCTGTCTCCCAACCTATTGCCTATTGTTATAGTACTTAGACTACACAATGTATATGTTGGGAGAAAGTAAATTATTTGTTTATTTACTGGAGTGTGTCCGGTACTAACAACAGAGGGCGGCGTTGATGAGACACCTGCAGATCCGTAGGTGTTATAAATTGTGTAATAATCAGTCCCCACGAAACAGGCAAAAAGACTGTTTGTTGAATCGGGTCTCCAGCACCGCCGCCCAAACGTGTAAGCTATAGTTTAGGATACGATGGCACTGGTATATACATTGTACAAAAGTTCATAAATAAAGATTTTAAAAAAGAAATAAACTAAAGGCTATGGTTACTATGGAAGCGAGTTTCGACGCCTCCCACGTAAAGTATCGTATGTCGAAATTGCCAAGTTTACAGGGGAGTGATTTAAAGTTCTCCGTTTTATTCGGCAAAGCTTGTTACTCACACAGAGTGATCATCTAATAGATCATCTAACCGATATTTTATGATACTCAACGTGTGTAACGAGATTTGCCGAATAAAAGTGAGAAATGTAAAGTCACGTGTTATGCTTATTTCAGTGAATTCAGAACTTTAAAAGGCTCCCCTGTAAACTTGGCAATTTTGACATACGATACTTTACGTGTGAGGGCTCGGTTTCTGCCGAGTTTTGACCAATTCGTCCACACAAATATATTTGAGAGTGTTTACACTGTTGTCGACGAATACGTCAGAAGATGCACGTCGTAAGGACTAGTTGATCGTTCAAACAAGTTTCATTTTTTTGTACGACCTGTGTCTGTTTTCGAGAATCGAATTTCAAGTGATTTGGTTATTTCGCATAACGATAAATTGGTAAGTTTTGTGCGCAAGAACTTAGCTACAATGGAAACGTTGACCTGCGAAAGGTAAATACGTTTCCTCAGTTATACATATGTAGTTAAAACGTTAAATCATTAGCGCGATAGCAAATGCACGCAACGTGTCACATTGACAGCGTTATATATATGGTTTAATTTTGGTTTTTCCCACAGATAACATTGGTTTTTCCTTTGGCATTTACCGGGATTAGTCTCCAGGTGTTTGTGGGATAAGTCTTATTATTATTTTTACATGTTTCAACTCGTCCGTAGTACGAAGATCTATGCGCAAGACTACTTGTTTTTAGGACCATAGTACATTTAGTTCGTTCTTCTTGGCTGCGGAGGTCAGATCGACCGTTGCTCGATTTTATATTTCCGAAACGAAATAAGATATATAAATTCTCAAAACACCTTTACATAGGCCTCAGTTTGAATTCTCGTAACGTACTTGTTCTCATTCTTTCTTGCATGCTGTTGCCCGTTTATAACCTTTATCTCTTAATAGAAGAATATGTATAAAGCGCTAGCAGTACAATTCTGTACTTATTTTGATGTGCGGATTACAGGAATTACATTAGCAATTAGAATTAATGTTTACATTTTATCCACCAGAAAACATGCGCAGTGTAATGAGTGTTTACACACTACACCCCAATCGTATCAGTCCGAATCCGAGAAATGGCGGTCCAAAAGGTCACAGGGATCATTTTATCTCTAGGTACACAAGTGACAACCGAACTGGGTCCGAGTTTTCTAGATTTCTATAGTCTCGGACTCGGAACGAACTAGAGACGAGGACTTCACATTTTCGTCAGAACTCGCATGCAAAGTAACCGTAGCCAAAAAGCCACGTTTGTCCTTTTCTTATACAAAAAGAAAGAGACAGATTTAACTTAAATTAAATTTATTTTGCGTTTGTCCGTACGAACGCCAGTGTAATGACAATATTGCCACGACTCTGACGTCACACTGCTGCTCTCTCAACGTGAATGGACTGTTCGTCCTCTTTTTCCAATGTTACGTATTTTAATGGTCCAAGATGCGCAGGTTGCCCGACACTATCTTGTTCTCCAGCAAAGCACCCGACGGGATGTCGATGCGGTCGCCGTGGTTCGCGATTATAATCACGGTGCCCTGAAATATTCAGATAATTATAGTCTGTCTTTTTTGAAAATGGAGTAAAATGGCAGTTGGGCAAAAGTGTTGCCCGTTTACAAGCAGCTAGTGATTGCCGTCGGTAAATATTCTATCGACTATCTGTTGAATGTTCACCGCCCCATTATTCGTCCAACTAATAATAATAATATAAAAATAAGTTCAGTTGAAATGTCAATTTTTCTAAATTCATTCATACGTACACTGCATTTGGTACTATGTCTGTTAAAAAAATACAAAGAGGAGACATATTTTAAAGTTTTTAATTTTAATTCAATATGCATAACCAAATCCGCATGTTCCTGTTAAGATCTGTATGAATAAAAATAATAAATATTTTGATAGTAGTAGATCACCTGTCAAAATAAAAGAAGGCAATAACGCAATTAGCAATCATTAGCATGCCGTAACATTTACAATTCAGATTTTTGGCATTCTTTCACAATCTATCGATAAAACTGCCGATAACAATTACTTATTTATTTAATAGTTTATTGTACAGGAAAAATACAACGAGTCACAAATAATACAAGCGAAATTAAAAACAAAAGGTTCTGCTTATTTCTAATAGAAATTTCTTCCTGCAGACCTAAATACAGGACACTATAACTAAAAGAACGGGCATATGTGCACAACAAAACAAGAAAAAAGAAATATAAAAATAATATAATAATATTAAATTGTTACAAATTATATAAATACTTAGACAAATACATAATTTATAATATAATACCTAAGATATGGATGGAATAGTAGATAAATAATGCTCCTTAACTCTCACTTTAAAAATAGCTAACGATTTACTTTCGTGAACAGTAATAGGAAGTGCATTCCAAAGTCTGACCGCATGAACAGTGAAGGAGTGAGAATAGAAACCGGAATTGAAGCATGGAAAAGATAGCTGGGACCTAACAAGAGAGCGACAGGGTTGATCCTGGGACCTAAGGAAGCTGAAATGCATTACATGACTATTTAAAATTTTATGCAAACGGATATCCATACAAATGCCATTTTACTCCGTTTTCGAAAAAGACTATATAACAATGACAACATCAAAATTAAGCGGCAAATTTTTTTGCAACTGTGTGTAATGGACGAGTTAGTAGAGTCAATGTTCCACCACAGCGTGTTTAAACAACCAATTCTTTTTCGTTATAATTACGAAGGCGAGGGTTGGATGTTCAGAAATATTTCTCTTTTTATAACCGACTTCCAAAAAGGAACTTGTGAACCGATTTTGTTGATTCTTCGTGCGTTCGAAAGATCCCATTTAAATTTAAAGAAAATATTCCACCTTTAAGTGTGGCAAACTGATGAATCCGGTTTCGTGCACTTTCCGGACAAGGATTGCAATAACTTGGCAAATAGATGTAATATCACATTGACTTACAAATAAATGGACGACGGGTCTAATACAAAAACCACGAAAAAAATGTCCCAAGTCAACCTATTTAAACGTAGTGACATGTAAAGGAATATGAAAAAGGTAAAACGTTGAATTTAAATTGTAATGTCATCGCAGTACTGTTTAATTTTGCTTGCTTCGCTGTAGTCGAACAAACGAAGATTAAAGCGTGAATGACGCTCTGTATATGATTTTAACGCCCTATAAGTTCGGACACTTTTTAGCGCGGTCCCGACGTCCATATAATTAGTAAGTCAATTAATATCATAAACTTCGAAGTCGTTTTTAAAAAGTTATAATTATTAATTTTCCTGACCCCATGAACAAAACAAACTCATTCACAATTCAACAAACGGCTCTTTGTTGACAATAAAACAAAATAAAACTAACCTTGAGTGACACTCCTCTTCCGAACGTGACGTCACCAGACACGGTGAGATGATCCAACTCGATGAGATCCGGAATCGTCGCGAATCGGTTCAAAAACTCCTTAACTTTAGCAAAGTGGTTATCGCCCAGCTTCACCAAGGGAGTCGACGGGAACATGCGCTGTGGAGACATCACTAGCGACCCGTGGGACAAACTGTACAGGTTGGACATCACTAGCAGTAAGTCTGATGTCTTTTTGACGGGCAAGAACCTGCTTCGAGGGACATTAACTCCGAAGCCTCCTTCGAAGCACTTCATCGCTGCTCCCACAGCGGTTTCCAGCTGAATGACGTTCAAGCCATCAGGCAGGGACTTGTTGTTGACGATTATCTCCATGTTGAGAGATCCTTGGTCGACGACGCGCTTTATGGCGTCAAGTTTCGCCCACAGATTGTTGGTGTTGAAGAACTTGAACTGACTGACTGATTTGAAGTCGTCCACGTGCTCTTTGGGTACTTGGGCGATTTCCAGAAGACGCAGTTTGTCCTCGTACTGGATAAGGGTGCCTCCCTTAACGTCAGCTCTCGTTTTGTCGGTGACCTGTAAGAACAATAAACTTTGGTCAAGTTTGTCAAAGTAGACATGGGGAAAAGCATTAAATTTCTATCACCGTGAATATCGTTGCATTTAGAAAACAAATAAAGTTATTAACTAATAAAATGTATACAATGTATAAATACAGTGTCCGAATTTTTAAATGACCTCCGTGGCCGAACGGTTACCATGGTGGACTGCCACGCAGAGGTCCCGGGCTGAGAGAAATGTTTGTATGGCCTACATTTATTTCTCTCGTGAATTTGTGTGTAATTTGTGATTGTCTACAAGTGTGTCCATGGCACCCGCGATACAGGGTTTCCCTAGTGCCTAATTCCTAAATTCATTGTCAAATTTTTCACATTGGCCGCTATTACCATAAAAATTTAACTATGATAGCGTTTACATTCTGGCAGATTTATTACACCCACGTGTGCACGCCCATGTAATATTATTGAAAAAGAAACGTTCCTATAGTTATTTTGTACACGTCAGCTTCTATATAGTGTTTTCACATATAAATGAATTATTATTAGTTACAAAAAAAATCACAGTGACAAATCACCGTGATTTTGTCACCTGTCACTTACATCACGATGTACGGTTTTGGCAAGCGGCTACTTTCTAATAGTCGATATTATTATCCAATTTTAGATATAACGTTTAATTTTATTCGAAAAGTTGATTCGCAATAACCTTCACAGTTTTACAGGTTATTGTTATAACCTTTTGTGAGTTTGGGTGTAATTTGTGATTGTCTATGAGTGTGTCTATGGTACCCGCGACACAGGGTTTCCCTAATGCGGGGCTATGATGTTATTATTATTTAGATTAGCTGATTATCGAGATTGACTGAGTTGACCAGACCGGTGTAAAAAGAAAACCGTCTTCACATGGAGTTTGATTTTTTCTTCAGAGCGAACCATATACTTTCAACAACAAATAACTAAGAGTGGATGAAAAGGGGGTACAGTTCACAGAAAATCTAGATCAGTCTCGTCATGCAGCTGCTTTTAATTTTAGATTTTTAAATAAAATTTTACGAGGGTATGAAAGTAATAAGTACCAGGACCTCGGCCCCGACATTTGGAGTCGAAACCCTTGGGCCCGTGGGATCACGGTGCCCCTCATCTGTAAAAATTTTTATCTAAAAAATTAATAGTCTGTCATGCCCAACGCATTAGCATACAAAGGGGGAATGCTGCCAGCATCTTGGGCACCTTGCCGCGGGCACTCACTTTTATTTATATAATTTAATCAAAGTTTTAGTTTCTGGTATTTAAGATTTTATTGTACCTTGGTTATATATATTTCAACTTATTGTCTAGACGTAAGACACACACCCAGTCACTATCGAGATATGGCAGTTTGAAGTTTAAAAGCGTTTCTCACTCATATTTAATTTTCAAAACTTAATTATTATATATTATTAATGTCATGTAACTCCAGAGATATTTATTTATGTATGACTGATCTAAGAGGTTAGGAATAGTTTGGTACATATAACTCATTTCTTGATAATTTTATGGATTAGATCCTTTTGCTTAACTACGTCCAATTAATAAGTAAACCTGACCTCCATAACGAATTCTTTGACTGGCTTCTGAGGATCCGGGTTGAGAAGCAGATTGAGTATGTTCAAGTCGACAGTGGCGCCGAGGTTGTCTATGTTGCTGATGAAGCAATAGGTGCGCCCTTCTGTGATGAACTTCTGGAGCAGGCCGGAGTTGTGGAACGACTCGTAGAAGTCGCCGTGCCCGGGTGGGTACCACCTGGAACGACAAATCAGTTATAGGCTTATATGCTTATATAAGCAATGTATGAGATTGGCATTTTAACTGTGCGGTTCTTTGATAAAAGCCGCCAATCGCTATTGAAATAATGAGAATCTCTTTCTCATTTCTTTATGTTTCGAGTTCTTAGATTTTCGCGATTGTTACACATATTAGAAATGAAACTATTTTTTCTCGCGTATATCTGTTTTTCCAAACAAACCAACATTTGGTGCCATTTACAGGTCCCGTGGTCACATGGTGGTTACGGTTGACTGAGGTGATAAATCCATCAACCAGTCATGTCTAATATTAATGCACCCCACTTTATTTTTCCTTTTAGTTACAAAAGTTATTGATGAAATGCTTTATTACAACAAAGATACCAAAGATCGAACACTCAGAAAAAATTCCTTCGATCCGGCCGGATTTGAACAGACGTCTTCTAGCTTACCGTGTCAGACGCTATACCAACTAAGCCACGGAACGAACCAGCGGACCTCACGAATTTTTCTATGTGCTTGTTGTCGCGTCTTTCAACGACTTTTTAGTCGTAGCGCCATCTATGGCAAATCTATGAAAGTTTTATCATGCCACGGTATGCTAGAAGACGTCGGTTCGAATCCGGCCGGACCTTTGCATTAATAATTATAACAAACTAGTAGAGTAATTTCACAAAAATAATTGAATATTAATTCAATAAAAATTTAAATGCTTTATTTTCTTTTTTTTTTTTTACACACACACTCAACATAGCCCCGCACTAGGGAAACCCCGTGTCGCGGGTGCCATGGACACACATATAGACAAGCACAATTTACACCCAAACTCACGAGAGAAACAAATGTAGGTCATACAAATATTTCTCGCGGCCCGGGAATCGAACCTGGGACCTCTGCGTGGCAGTCCGGCATGGTAACCGTTCGGCCACAGAGGCAGCTAATTATTTAATTTTACAAGGAACATTCCAATTTACGCTACATATGTTTTAAAACTGTATGTTGTGCCCTGACTTTACGTTGCAGTAGAGCAACTTGTGAAAGTGTTCGTCCAGCAGTAATGTGTGCATTACTGTGTTCCAGTTCTGAAGGGTAAGGGTGCTGGTGAACAGGCACATGGCACTTGTCAACTTATGTCTCAGGGTGCCGGACGCAGTGGCAGTGCCTCTCAGAACTTTGCGCTTTAAAGCCCTAAGTGGCAGTGCGACTGTTGTCGACAGGCGTGTCGCCTTATCACCAGGCGAACGACTTGTTCGCCCCGTCACTTGGTATTATGAAAAAGAAATAATCTCAGTATCAGAGTCCTAAAAAAACCGACCTCAAAAGTCATTCAACCCCTAGTTTGTCACCCTTAGAGGTGGAATATTTTCATCAAATTTAAATCGGTTAAAAACGTTGTACTTACGCTTCAATATCATCTTGAACATTGGCGTTCGTGGTGACGGGCAGCAGGGATTCGCGGTTGATTCGCGGATGGCACGACTGATTGAACGTGTGGATATCCAACTTGAGCCCCTTGTACTTCCGGATGACCTTCTGGGTGTCCTCGTCCGTGTTGAACGAGTTCATTAGAACAAGGGGCACGTTGCACTTGTACGTCTTGTTCAGGTGCTGGAACGACGACATAAAGGTGACTATGAGCTTTAGACAGGAACAATGTAAAGGGTTTACCAATAGGACATAAGGATAATGACAATGTATAACTTTGGATATTGTACGTCTTACGGATGGATGACACACACACACTTTCACACATTCCACACACTTACAGACACATACTTACTTGTACTCACACACACTAACATATACACACATCAAAAAAAGTTTGCGATCAATAGCATAAGCTCCTGTAATTCTTTAAATTTAACTTTATCAAGAAAAAATCTATGTTGTATGC